AATTGTCGCGTTATAGCTGAATTACTTAAACGTTTAACTTGGACTATTACGAACAATAGAAACAATAATTGACATTATGATTGCTATCATTATAAGCAATTTAACCAGAGAAATAAATTTCAAGACTAAAGTCTGGAGCACTGAACTCGTAAAGCATTAGCATCTAAAAGAAAATTCTACTTTGAATGAATATTATAATTAGTTAATAGTTAATATAAATATACGAGGTATGTTCAAAAAAAAAAAAAGCAAAGGATGATAAAACAAGACATTAATATATGCCAAGCATTCAACTCCTGAAAGCTTCCGCTACTTAAGACAATTTAATCTAATATGATAATAAATTTCAAATAATTGATATTGACTTTAATAAAGACAAGGCAGAGAGAGAGAGAGAGAGAGAGAGAGAGAGAGAGGGAGAAAGTACGTTTGGCGTAAAAAGAACTTTTTTTTTCTACTACTAATAGCTTATCATAAATTGAAGCAGGGAAGCCGTTAATAAGAGAAAGCTTTTACTTAAATAAAATAATAATTGTATCGTACATTTTATGGAATGATAGAGAAATAACATTTACCGGTCTATGGATATGCATATACGGTACTTCTTAACCGAGTAGATTGGCGACTGTACTACATTAAAAAATTATAAAATACCGCTATGCAATTTGCTGAGTAAACGTAAATAGTACGTGGATAGGTTTTGAAAACATATTTTCCCACAACTTGGTAACACTTTATGTGTTTGTAAGATATTTTATAGCTAAACAGAGGGAAGAACAATACACGCTATATATTATACAAATTCACGATCTCTTAAGTAAGATTATATATGAAGGTCTCCATATATATTATGTTGTACGATTCTATTCGGCCATCGTTTCAATATTTCGCATTTCAACTAATTCGCATGCACTTTGGCAGCACTTTAAGCCCACATACGATATTCTTTTAGTTAAATAAATCGAAGAAACCTATCTATCGTATTTTATAATTCTTGAAAGCTTCTTCTTCTTAGTACAAACTTCTTCTTTACAGAAATCGCTCTTAAAGCAAAGGATCAGTTAGTCAAAGTTTTTCAAATTTACTTTGATTTAGATTTTAAATCAAATTACAGATTAAACAATTTGTCAAAGATATATACGAAATGTCTAATACCCTTTCCTAAAAGAAAATATTCATTTCATTATGTCCTCCTCCTATAGGTAATCGTTTTATATGCATTAAAAATGTTTAACGAATTGAATTGAATTGAAATCTCTGCCACCCCCCCCACAAACAATGTATGCTACATGATAAAGGGAAACAAATTGAAAACACAGCATGAATAAGCGTAAATCCTTACAATTGAAAAAGTTAATGAAAAAATGTACGACTTAATTGGAAAATTCTACCACATTTTAACAATTCATACATACTAGCATTTATTATTTTATTTACTCTTCTTGGCCTTTCATTTATCGTATTTTCGGTCATTGAAAGGTTCCCACCAGGGCCGCGCCCCCCCCCCACAGACAAAAAAAAAAAAATAAAAAAGAGAAAATCTCTCGAAATGACCTTTGCACAGTTTGCAATGAGAGATTAAAACTTCAAGTCAAAAGATAATTGAACAACTATAGCAATCGTTCTACAAGTGGACATCAATTTGTAAATCAAAGTAACATTTGATAAAATCAATACGGCCATCAATCTTTATCCGGCTTTGAATTATGACGACCTTGTTCTACCACCAGGACCAGGACTTTGCCAATTATCACATATCAAGCATTTGTCATGAATCTTTCAATTTCCACATAAATCATAAGTAAAATGAAAAAAAAAAAAAAAAATGCAAAATAAAACTAAAAAATTGAACAACAACAATACAAAGAGGAAAAGAGAAAAAAATAAATAAAAAACAAGCGAACATAACACTGTAGAATGAAGATAACACTTAGCCTGGCAGTGACATGAATTTATCATTTTGGCTTTAATTATCCGCCCTGGAAATGATTAATTTCATACATTTTGTCTTGTATGTGCATTAAAGGGCAATTAAAACGATGTTGACATAAACATAACTGAAAACGAAAAGAATGTGAGCACAGAGTACAGAGTGGGTGGGCAGAGCTGTACGGGATTGAGAAATTATGTTGGATTGCGTGGAGGGACAAAAAAAAAAAAAAAAAAAAAAAAAAAAAAAAGGTCTAATTTAAAAAAATTAAACATGACAAATGGTTCCTTATTTTAACGGTGACCGCATTGCTACCTTGCCTTTGTTCTTGTTATTATACCTTTTTTAAAAAGAGAAAAAAAACAACAAAAAAAACAAAACACAATAACTTTACTTATTAAAGAAAAAACAAAAAAAATACATAATATACATGAGACTTGTTGCTCTTGTTCTTACGCGGTAAAAACATACAATTCTTAATGTGAATGTGAATGTGTCTTCACTTTTATGCATTATAAACGTATCTTTCTTTCAGATAATTAAGAAACTAAAATGAACACAAATTGTTGGTAATACTCGTAATTCATTTTTTTTTTTTTTTTTTTGTCTTCTGTATGTATGCCCCTACGTGTATATGTGTGTGTGCGCGTGTATTGTAATATTCGTATGTTTGGCAGAAAAAGAAAAGGAATAAAAACAGGAAAATAACAGCATGTAATGAAAATGACACATTCACATCGACATCCTCACATGCATACATATATATATATATATATGTATATATATAGACTTGTTGTTAAAACCACCCTAACGTATAATTTTGTTACTTTATATATAGGAAGAAAGAAGATTTTTGGTTTCGCATTTTCGAAGTATAAGAATAAAACATTTAAAGAACAAAAAAAAAAAAAAAAAAAAACAAATTGAAAAGGAGTACAAAGAACAAAGAAAACAGAAAAACGAAACAAAAAAAAAAAAAAAAAAAAATTAAAAATAAAGCAAAACAAAACAAGAAATTCAGTAACGTTATGAAATCCGCATTAAGAAAAGCGAAAGAACGGACACACACAAGGCACAAGCAGACATATAAACACCGAACGTCATATAACACAGACAGATAGCTTAGGGATTTCATTGCAGCTAAAGAAAAAATTGTTAAAGTAACATAAAATAAAGAACCAACAACAATGTTCAGTTAATGTATGTATGTGTTATTTTAATATGGCTGCTGCTGACTACGTTTGTTTTTAGTGAATTACTAAAATTAAACGACAATTCGTTTACTGCTGCTGCTGCCTGCCTGCCTGCCTGCCTGCTGCTGTTTCTGCTGCTAAAACAATTCAAGCGCAATGCAACTCTTCTTCAATGTTGAACAGTTGTTGGTACATGCATGCTTCACTGCATGTGAAATAGCGACGAGCTTTACAAAAGCAAGAACAACAAAGATAACAACAACAACAACAACAACAACAACAACAACAACAATAATAATATCAACAACGGCAACAAAAGACAAGAAAGCTATCTTCATGTATGAGTTTAAAAACGCAACGCAACATATCCACACCATTAACGGCCCTCTTATATCTCATCATCGTCATCATCATCATGGCCGTCATTAAAACAACATCAGCGCTTACCTACAACACTTACCTTTAAATAAACATTTGTTTTAGAAATGAAAAAGAGCTGATAGACACAGTAACAGTGGTAAAGAGTTATAGAGGTAGAGTAGTAACAAATCGATGATGATATTCAGTTAGTAGGATATATGTACCTATAATCATATAGATTGGTGACAAAGTAATGTTGGAGATGGAGGAGATGACGATAATTCTGATGATGATGACGGTGATGGTGACGGTGGTGATGATGAGGATGATGATGATGATGATAATGATGGCGGTGACGGTGACGGTGATGTGAAACCAAAGATATTCTCGCTGTATTATTGCACGCTGCCGTTTGTTGTTTTTGTAGCTGTTATTTTGTTGTTGTTGTTGTTGTTGTTGTTGTTATAGAGCATTAACAACTGCAAAAACCCAAACCACCATCAGAGATGTACTTGAGGCATAAACCTGATTTGATTGTTTTGTTATTTTTTTATTTTTTTTTTTTATTATTATTCTGTTTCGTTTTATTTCGACTACGCTGCTGGTGCTGCTACTTTAGCTCCTAATGCCAGGCTTAGCCTGAAATCGTTTCTACTGTTAATGCTGTGTTGATTTTGATATCGCTTATGCTGTTATGGCTGCCTTCAATTTTATAGCTGTATAGGAACTAAGCGAAAGAGAATGCGAAAATAAACTATATATAACACACAATACAACAATAACCGGAGCAATGCAACAACAATGTATATTAAACAAAAAAAAATATATATATATATAAACGAACAAAAACCTGTTTCGCTGGATGGCGCTTAAACTCTACGCTACGGTTTACCATCATCAGGCAGAGAAGAAGAATTTTTCACATCACTTTATAGTAAGCGGAAAAAAGAAACAATTTTCTTTATATAGCAAATAACACTTTGTGTATATAATATTTTTGAAACGCATACATACACGGCACGGCACGGCACACGCATATATATAAAACAATATTTTTATATAAGCGTATGCACGCATCCAGCGATAGACACAATAACACCTCTTTTTATTATTATTTATATTAAATGATGAAATTTTTGCTTACAACTTGCAACTTGCAACTTGACCTTTATCGCAATGACCTTTAAATGGCTTCTTATTTCTTTTCTTTTCGTTTTTTTTTTTTTTGTTTTTTTTTTTTTTGGAGGGAGGATTCGTTTCTTTTACTCTATATGTATATTTCTTTTGTTAAAGACATTCATCTCATTGTTATGTTATTAGGGCTATTTACTTATAAACATTTTTTTTTTTTTTTTTAATATTTTGGACAAACGCTCAGCTCAGTTTACATTTTTACTATAAATCTTTCTTTCCTTCTTTCTTGTTTCATTCATTTAATTCCTATTTAAGCGTATATTCCGCTTACAATTAATTCGTTACGGATATTTTCTAACAAAAAAAAACATATACACACGCACCCGTTTATGCGAAATTCATGGGAACATTGCCTCTGCAGGCTTTCGAATTTATAATTGATGCTGTCTGCGACTGCCAGCTTGCTTGTTCGCCGCCTAAGTTTGCAGAATTGTTGCTATTGCTGCTCGTGCTGCCCGCTGCTATCGTTGTCGTTACTATTAGTACCAATGCTTGCTGTTGCATTTTTTTTTTTTTTTGTTGTTGTTCATGTATGCGTGCAACTGGACTTTTTGTCTGTTTTGTTTTTATTGTGTAAGAAATTAACTTTAATTCAGGCAATCTCCGCAAACAATGCATAAAACAATACGAAGTTAAACGTAACTATGTTTAAATATTAAATAATTTTTATTTTTTTTATTTTTTTATTATATGTTTTTTTTTTTTTTCTTTTGTTGGTTCGTTATATATGTTCTAGTCGTTACGGTTGTGTGTGTTATGTTATTGATGATTGCGTGTGGAGCAATGATTTTATTTACCGAAAATCAATTAAAAAACACAAATAAAATATACGGAGGGCAGGCATACGCTCATTCACTTTCATACATATTTATGACGGTCCCCGTAAAATGTTTATATTTTTCAATTTACTATTCACACACATTGAATTCTTTATTTTGAACACGCGCGCATCACATCCACTCTAGCAAGTGCACAAAATCAAACTAAATTCAACTCCTTTAGCTAAGAAACGTTACAAACGAAACAACACTCATCACTGATTTACTTATATTTAAAAATTTTGCTACTAATACTACTACTATTTCTACTACTTTTTTAAAATCTTACAATAAAGAGAATTGCAGAGAAATAATGTAAAGAGAGAGAGAGAGAGAAATCGAACACATTTACTGTTGGATAAAGCAAATCATAGGAATGACTGATGCTCGTCTTAATAAAATTTATGAGGGAATCAAAATCATATCATTTGTTAATATGGGATCGAATCTACGTCATCCATAACGGAATCCTCGTGTTAGTGATGTGCGTAAAGGACTCATTAAGTTGACATCATTTGGGAATAGATGCAATTAGCGCTTTCAAGGAAACGTTAATGATGTTGTTTACCAGCAAATGGTCGGAAGGATGGGTTAGACTTCTGAAAAAAAATGTTATTTCATATCAATGAAATTTGATCTTAATGAAGTCAAATTCATTTATCGGAAATGGCATTTATCAGAGAATTATCAGCCACGATTGTATATATTTTCGTCTATCATCGGGAGATATCGAGATATCGATGATAATTATCTGCGCATAATTGATTATGTTTTCATTGCTTTTCTTAGGATCCTAGAATTATGATGATACTTATCATGGATAGTTTGAGGCTAATTCCCAATTAAAATTTTCTAACTGGATTCAATATCCCTTAAAACGAGATATTAAGTATTTGGTAGACGATTTTTTATACATAATCATAACTAATAAATTCTTTTTCTTTATAACGGAAGGGTACCTTTTGGTATACGATTATTATCAATAGTTCTCTGTCTTTGCATCATCGTATCGCAAAATCGGGAAAAAAAAACGTCCAGTACTTAAGTTTATGATAGTTTTTTACTTGAAAATTGAACTTCATTATTATTAATTAACTAATACATACATAGGCATAAATTTAAACAAATATGAATTGTATTAAAATTTTCCTTAGTACGTTTCTCTTTCACGGCACTTGGAACATTTTAACAAAGTATTCTTTTATGACCATTACGTGAAGAATGGATTTTGTGAAAAAGAGAAAATAGTTAATATAAAGAGCAAAGTCTAAGAGAAAAGCATAGCATGGAAAGGGTTATAATAACGGAATGTTTGCAATTTTTTTTTAAACTGTTATAATAGCAAACGGCAGAGAAGTGGAAACCGCAGGGGGACACTTCTGATAAAAGAAGAGACGTTTAATAACATAACAGCATCGAAATTACTTTACATATGACCAAATTTGACAGAATATCCATTAAAAGTTTCTTAAAGAAGCCGTTTGGATGCTCATTTAAATAAATTATTCGACCCAATCTTAAAAGTTAAAGTTTGTTATTCTATTCTTGCTTAAAATTATCTTTCCAAAATTATTTTTTCAGATTTTTTCTTTTAAATTCACACTCGCTAACCTTATGGTTGTTGGAACTGCCCAATCGTTGATATTAGACATCGTCTGTTGATTTTTGATCCTAATGTCAGAAATGACAAAAATTTTCATAGAATTCTTCTTTTTAGGAAGGTTTTACATGCAAAAAAAAAACAATATTGTCTTTTAAACAGTTTTTTTTTTTTAAACACAAATTTAATTAAAAAATATTTAACAGAATCATAGATATATTATAGGCCGAGTAGGCAAAGAGTTTCGACTAATAAATCAATGGTCGTGGTTTCAAGTCTCAAATGCGGTAGAATTTTCAATAAAGTCGATAACCTTAAATGCTAATACTTTAGGATTTTAGTCTTAGAAATTATTCTCTGGCTAAATTAATATTAATATTGATAGTAATAATGATAATAATATAGAATAAATAAGTCATTTAAATATTCAACCAATAACTGTTTTTTCTCAGCGTTCACTTTTAATACAACCATGCCGATTATAATGCGTTTTTGTTGGCAAGTGTAGACACTCTTTAATCAAAACAAAATCAGCTGTTCGCATTAGCTAGTGTCTCGTTTTGTGTTTTTTCTTTTTAAATATTAAGCAATGTTTGTAGAAAATCTCTTCGACTGTTAAAGTGTGAAAGGCCATAGTTTCAAATTTAATGTAATCGCAGCGGTGCCATTGACGATTTGTCGTTTTTCAATATTTAAATATTACAATGGTAATCAATCTTAGCTCTTAAATGCTACCCTACTGATTGCACTGGAAAAGTCGTTTCTTCTTTTTGGCATTGTAGGCAGTAAAATCTGCAAGGTCCAAACTCCTTTTGCTTTTCTTGTTCAAGAGCTTGTAGTTTTCACCTATGTAGGTAGGTTTCTTCTGTTAATTTTCATCTAAAACATGTCAAGTTAACGACAAACGAAGTACCAAGTACGCCGGCAAGCCTCTCTTGGTTTTTTAGTTAACGCTATACTTCCTTTCTAGTAATATACTCCATTGGCGTCTATAAGGCCAAATTTAAGATAAGAAAGACATAAATGTTGCTTGAGTAATACCCACTACCCACTACTTAGTCTACATTTGCTCTTGAGAAGCACTTACAGATATTACATTTATTAATAACTTCTTTCTTTTTATTGTTAGGATGAAGCAATTTTTTTCCTTATTGTTAAAATTAAGAGCTGGACTTCTAAATTGTCTTCTTTGACAATTCTCACCGTTTGCCACGAGCTTCTTATCTTTTAAGCGCGCCTCCTTCCACGCAAAAGCTTGCTTTCTTAGCAAAGATCGTTTCTAAATAAATTTCTGATTAGTTTATATTTCGAATTTTTTCGGGAAAACATTTTACCGCAGCAAGGTAGCGAGTGTTTTAGCTGTCAAGAACCAATAGAAAGAATCGCTTTAACCTTCCAATCGTCATAACTGATTCAAGAGCTTTCCGCCTTGAAAAGTTTGGCTTATTTCCTGCTTATTATTTGCAGTCTTTTGGCATCGAGACGTACTTTTTTCACGGCAACTTTTTTTCTTTCACAAAATCGTGGTAAATGTATCTCAAACTTAATCCTCAATTAATGCCTGTAATGCGAATGGTAAATACACAAATGTAAAACAGAATATTTATTCTAAATGATTGAGAATTACCAGCTAATCAGTCATTGCAATTTTTCCGTCATTTCTAAATTATTTATTAAATTATCTGCGAAATGCAACAAATCTGCTAACGGTCTCCTCAACTTTCTTAAAATTATGCTTTGCAACTTATGTTGTGTGAATATTTTTCTAGTTCTAAAGCAGAAGAAGAATTGATAAGAAATAGTTGATAACATTTCACACGCTATCATGTGATTGTGAATGATAAAGTCTTCGAATATAAGAAGATTATTTAATAATTAATGGATGCGTAGAAAAATTTGATTTTAATTTCGCTTCAGGAAATTTTAGCATATAAAAGAATTGTAACAAAAAGATTAAAAAAAAAAAGAAATTGCAATAACGGGAATATTACTAAAATTTAAAGCGAAACCTAAATAACCGTGAAAAAAAATACATTGAATCAAAAAAGACAAAAAGTGCATTTAGTTAAGCTTTGCTTGTTTGCTTGTTTTGGTCGAAAAATTGTTTGTGCTAAACTTTAGATGGCTCTGTAACATATTTAAAAAAATTTGGTAATCTATCGTTAATTCCGCGTGCGTTTTCGAAGAACTTTCTATTTTAACTGTGGCTATTACCGCATAGCGCAGGAAGGCGCTGCTTTCAAATATTAAAGATCTACCTCATCGATGCCGAGGTGTGTTTGCTTTCAAGGGTATGTAATGTGAAAGAATTTATTATATTTTAACACTTCTCATAAAAAAAACTTCTTATAAAGAGAGCGGCGTATTTGGGATGACTGACAATGACAATAGCATAACAAGAACTAAACCGTGTCGCAAAGATCGAAAAAAATGCTATAATTCAATTCTGTTTGATAAAATTTAAGAGTAAATCTATGGAACTGTTTGTAGCCCAATTAACCCTTCCTCAGACCTTTATTATTTAATTGGATATTAGCTTTAGTTAGTTGACTTTGGCCTTAGCAATTAATTTGAAAGCAGAAATAATATAATTCACAAGGAAGTTTCCAGCCTCAAATAGTTTCCAAACTTGTTATTATCAAAATTAGATCGGAGCGAGATTGCTCGTCACTTGCATACGTTGAAAAATTACGTTCATTGATGATTGAAGACATTTTAGAAGTAAACAGACAGACAGAAAGATCGCAGAGTTTTTTAAATTCTTAAAAATTTTCTTATAAAGCATCTCAAAAGAGTTATGGGCAGCCGGAAGCTAAAGGGATGGAGCGTACATGAGATTTAAAACCTTATTGAATTAAAACTAAAATTTTACAATTCAAATTTAATAAAGCATCGAATAGCTTTCATCATCTTAAAGTGATTATTTAAAATTTTCGAAAATATTTTCATTATAAAGTTTTATTTTATTTATATTTTAAAAATAAAAAGTTGTATCACAATATTCAAAGAAATTTAAATGAGAAAAAACTAATAATGAAAATACAATACAAATATTAAGGATCTCCCATCCAAGGCATTAATATAAATTAATAATTCCATTCTATTTTCAGTTAATGATTCCAGTCAGTACATTCTTTTGGGACCTAAAAAAAAAAAAAAAAAAACGACAAAACGAAAAAAAAACAACACAGGTAAGTCATTTGTCATTTGTTGTCATACATAAGCTTAGATTATTGTACAAAAAACTTACGTCGATTACAAAATCTACCGTAATAGCCTTCCAAGCATTTACATTTATTGTTTGACAGGCAATGGCCAAATTTACAATTATCCTTACAAGTAGGTCTTTGCTTTTGACCAATTTCACAATGATCCCCGCTTAGGCCGGGTGCGCATTTGCACAAGTTCGTACCAATGCAACGGCCACCATGCATACACGAAATTTCACATTTAGCTGAAAACGATTAACAATTAATAACTTAAACGGAACGAGCCCGACAATTTAATTTATATGAACTTACAAAATTCGCAACGCAGACCATAATAGCCACGAGGGCATTCGCATTTATCTTTTTTAATGCATTTGCCACCATTCAAGCACTTTTCCGCACACATGCCTAAAATTGTCATTCAAATCCCATATATATATATATATATATATATATATATATATAATAGATAGGGAAGAAGAAAATATAAAACTTACCACCTTCGCATTTGATACCTTGATAACCGTCGGGGCAGGTGCATACTGAAGGTGCCGTACAATTGCCGCCGTTCATGCATTGAGGAAAGCAAACGGGAGTCTCGCAATACTGACCAATATAACCGGGATGACATTGACAAATGTTGTTATGATTGCAAGTACCATGCTCTCCGCACTTTAAATGACATTCCGGATCCGGTCCTTAAATATACAAATTTTTAATAATCCCAAGCGAGATATATTTCGATTCGTGGGATTATAAGAAATTTTTTAATTAAATTTGGCGGGAAAGTTAAGGCGTTAAAAAGGCGTATGAAAGAAAGCATAAGCATTTGTCTGTGTTTTTGTTTAAGTGTAAGCGTGTGCATGTGAAAGCCCATACATCAATATATAATTAAGGCGAACTTGAGAGTGAATCAGTGAATTAATGCGTTCTTTATTAGACAGTAACTATGAGTAAAACTATGAGAAAGTGCAGGAAGTTGAAAATTAAAGCAAGTAAAACTATAGTCGAAGAAATGCTTTCTGGTTTTTTCCCTTTTTTTTTTTTTAATTTTTTTATTTTATTTTTTTTTTTATTTGAAAAAAAAAAAAAAACAGAAGAAATATATTTTATACCTTTACTTTCCGTGGCTATTGTTGTAGTTATTTTAAATTTATTTATTTTATTTTATTATTATGTTTTATAATGAAAAAGTATTATTTGGATATATACACTACCTTGTAGAGAGAAGTTTAGTGTGGAATTGAAAGCGTGCGGAAGCCTATCATACACACCTCTATGCGCACAACCTTTTTTAAAGTTGAGTCTCAACGGTGTACCCGGCAACGATACACCTTTGCGATTGTGTATAGATAAACTGATTTTCACGACTGCCGTCCCTGAATTATTCCCATTACATGGTAAAAATACACTGAAATCTATTAAAAAGGATTAGAAAGGCAAAACAAATGCCATATGAAAATTGACAGATGTAGAAGACATATATAGGAAAAACATTATTCTAACATGTAGCCATATATATGTATGGTAGTATTGCAAGCAGGACGACTGTATATGTGAAAGTCATCATCATTTTAAGTGTATTTTCACTTTTGCGTAAAACTTCACGTACTCCTTTCATAATTAATATCTTACCTTTTTCTTCTTTGGGTATCCGACCTTTCGCTTTAATCGATAGCGTAGGTGTTTTCAATACATTATCGTTTAAGGTTTCTAAGCGATCGAAATGATAAAAGTATTTACGATGTCCCGACTTCCAAGTAAAATTCACATAATTCACTTCGGGCGGTAATACCAAATATTCCAAATATTTATATGCACTGCCGTCTAAGATATCGTAAAGCACCGAACCATTTTTAATGGCATACATACGTCCAATAGCATTGGCTCGGGGAAAGAAGAGAGCTTTTCCCAAATAATTAAAAATTACGAAATTTTCAATTATGTGCACGTAACAAATAAGCGAAAAAGCAGCAGCTATCTTACCCGTTAGCATTTTCAATTGTTGATCGTTGATCCACAAGGAAATGTTCTCATCTTCATTGATCGGATGATGTTGCGACTTTTTACGATGACCTCGCCTGACCTTCTGTTGGCCACTGCCGTTGCCTCGTTCATTACGAAAAACTCTCTCACCTTGCTGCACATCAATATTCTTATCTAACTGTTGTTGGGCCGGTAATAGTTCATAAGTGTGATGACTGAAGCTACGCTGATTCAAATGTTGCATCTGATATTCATGCTTTCTAGCCTGAACTTCTTCTATCCGTAGACAAGGCATTAACAACATTAAAAAATAAATCATGCTTAAACATGATACTGCATTAGTGTTGATCATATTTTCCACTCTATCTATCTCTCTCTCTCTTGCTCTCTCTCTCTTGCTCTCTCTCTCCCTTTGGCCTTTAAAGAAAATATAAAGAAAAGCAATTTCTTTTTTTTTTCACAGTTAATTTTAATTTTAATTTTAATTTTTTTTTTTTTTTTTTTTTTTTTTGCACACAAATGCTGATTTTATTCTATTCGCGCTTCGAATTCTTCGAATTGCTATTATTGTTGATGTTGATGTTTATAAGGAATTCATTGGCAAATACTGACTAATGTTAAATTATCGATCGATTGATCGTTTATTTCATTTATAGTTCAGTTAAGTGTAATGCATTGCAGTTCGTTTGCTTTCCAAAACACTCAGTTAAGTAAATTTTGTACGTGTTTATCTGTAAAATATTTGTTTGATTTTTAATGTGCAACATTCGCCCACGAACACACATATACACAAACCTATATGCATAAAGGAGGAGGGGTGGGGGTGGGGGAGGTAGGCAGGCAGGCAGATAGAGGCGAAAATTTTCACAATTCAGATCCATGCAAATAATTCTCCTCGTCGCACAGGACAGACACATAACATTGTATGTATGATAAATCAAAAATAAAGTCATTGTTTGTTTGTTTGTCTGATTAATATAGCCATGCTAGAAAGGCGTATATAAACATGTGCACGCATATGCATGTGCACAATATTCTACTCTGTTGATCCATTATGTACAAGATTAAGCGCTTGATAACAACTTTAAACCATGTCAAGTGTTGCACACATACGCCTGCAGTCAATCCATTCAATTTTTTAAAAAGTTATAACTTATGTTGCAACTGTCATTTCAGGTCAGATGTAAGCAATACATGCCAGTCAGTCTTTCCTTGTCATCTTTCACTTAGAAGCATATACGTATACATATACATATATATACATATATATATATATATATATATGCACATGCATATAAAAAAACATGTAAACATTCATACGTTTTACTTATTACAAACGCACAAAAACAACAACAACAACAAGCAATAAGTAACAAGTTCTTGTTTTGGTGTGAACGAAACTCGAGCTGGACAATGCGCTCAAACAATTACATAAATAATGGATTACAATGGTTGAGCAAAAACAAACAATTATTTCTTATATCATATCTAAAGATATAAAAGACGAATTTAATATACTCTACTCTACCTATCGGAAGGCAAGAGGTAGAGATAAAAGGCAAAATAAAAATTTTCTTTGTGAGTTTAATTTATCTTAAAAGATTCTTCCTAAGGTAGAGAGAATTTTCATGAGAAATTAGGTTAACTTTATCGCACTACTAGTCGAATACGTAAGAAACGCGCCGACCATGTTTGTGGTCGCGAGTTCAAATCTCCTTTCCTAGAGTGTGAATTGCTCAGTTAAGAGTACAAGCATAACACCATAGGCTGAGGCCTTTCTCTCCATCTTTTGCTCTTTCCCCTTTTCGTTCTGACAATCATTGTGCTGCACGAACTGAGCATATCCCCGTATCCGTAGATCATATTAAGACAAGTAATAAAATTACATTCGGTCGTAACCAAATCTTTTATACCCATCATTATCGTTCTCCTAAAACAACTCCAACTAAAAAAAAAAGAAGAAAAACTAAATTTTCTTACTTTGTGATATTGGATGGGTTCGATTGATTTTCTTTTATTTTCAGAATAAAAGTGGAAATGCAGATAGTGTAGGGGCATCAAGCAAAAACCACTGAAAGCATAGTTTTTGTTGCATAATCATTGTAAGCGTCTCCTTTGACAGTTTTGATCATATTCAAATTTTTTCGCGAATTGTTAAGCGATATTTTCATTTTTGCGAGTAAAAGAATATTTTGGCAGACAGACATCGTTAAGTGTAATCCAAATTTGAAGCTGGCCAAGAACTTATAGATTTTATGGCGTTTTTCTAGTTTAGTTCTCCGCGTCGATGCTTTATAGCATTGGGTAGGCGTGGTCAATTTTTTCCCCTACAGATGCGAAACATCATCGCCCCTCTAGTGTATACGCTCAAATTTTTCTCGATTTACCCAACCCACTTTTATTCCTTTGGAAAAACGGAGTTGCTCTCAGTTTAGGTTACACTTTAACCGTATCTTTCGATCAATTCGGTTCATTTTCGATACTAATCCGCTTGTAAGAGTTTTCAATATTTCTTCCAAACTTGAAGTCAATAGGTTCATTTTTGCGAGTAGGAGACAACAGACACTACACAGACGGACAGACTGACGTACTTAAATCGATTCAGAATTGAATAGATTGAGATCTCTGAAGCTTCCTTCTAATCGTTGCGAACGTTTTGACAAAATGAATATGCCCCACATCCTTCGCTGATGGATATAAAAATAGCTAAGCTTTTGCTTTTTTTTTTTTAAAGAAATCTAAAATCGATTGACTTGGTTTATATGGAATTCCAAATTTTCCCCATGAGCTGAGTGAGTGTTAATTAAAGCAAAATAAAAAAGTTGGAAAAATGTTGGAAACAGTTCAAGATATCTGTTGGAAATTCAGATGCGGAAGTATTTCCTAATAAAAATTGGATTTATATTCAAATTTTTTTTCTCTTCTTTTATTATAATTTTTTTTTTACATTAAATCAATTTGTTTTTAATCTGAAAAACTGTTATGTTTATTCCATTAATTATTCGTTATTTGTTTTGAAATCAAAAAGAAGACGATAAAGTCAATAAGAATTCGTTATACGATTTCCTACATATTTCGTCCGTTTAAAATGATTTTCAACAATTTTTTTAATTTCCTTCTGTTTCTATTTCTCTAATGGAAATTAATAAATTATTTTCGTTCTTTTTTTTTTTTTTTTTTAACTGAAGAGAAATTACATAACTTGTTTTTCTTAAATAATACATAATACATAATATATATATGTATTATACTAATGATAATTTAAAAAAATTGTTGTAATCCATTAAATCGAAAATTCATTTCCATCATTAATCCAATCCAAAGTTTGAATGCATGTAACGTTATTTATTTAGCTAAAGAGCCAAAGAGCTCTCCCTTCCGCACCCTATAGAAATTAGATCGCATTGTTTAATTCACACTTACAAGCAATTGCTGGACACTTTGAAATTTTACAATCTGCGATTGAAACTTATCCCCCAAGTTGTATGCGTAAGACATACAACTTACATGTTTACCTATCGATGGAAATGCTCGTTTGTCGACATAGGCTTGCAAAAAAAAAACACACTTATGTGATATACAAGCGCGTTTAGAGTAAGACAATTCCTATCTAAAGCCAACTATGACCCATTCTCGCATGTTATTTATTTAGTCAAGCAAAGGCGAAGGGGAATTCAATTCTATACCAAAGATTAAGTTCGTTTCGTAATTCGACTTTGGGTATTGTGAGAAATTAAGTTAGTTAGTTAGTTAGTTAGTTAGTTAGTTAACCTGTCGGAAAATTTAAACACAAACACCTTAAACGACCCTCACACGCACAATGCGTAATTAAAATCAAGCCATAACGTGTATACACGTTGAACACCATACTAATGGTCGTGTAATAAATAGTTTTGTTAAAAAAAATTAATAAGTCATTGCTGAAAGCGAATTTTGTTTCCGATTTCAAACAATAATAAAATTCATAAATAGGAAAAATTTTGGGGAGAAAACATTTCTTTCCCCTTTTCAAGCCCATTAAAATAGGAGGAGATAGAGTAGTAAGAGAATAAAATCTATTCTTAGAGCACTTCTTTAGGGCAGACCTATATGATGAAATTATTCGATAGCTTCTGTCCGCATCGCTTATTTTCTCATCATAAACAAGGATTACTTCCCGCTTTCTTACCTCCATTTCGCCATTTTATGGAGAAAAATTTTTATATGAAACAATGTAAGGAATTTTTTTCTTTCCTTTTTAATATATAACAATCCTACTGTTATTATAAGGAGAACATATCACTACTGCGGTCACTCTCTATCTTTTTCTGCAGAAAGTAATTTCCGGGAAGCGATTTTGTTTTCCCCGCACAAAAAAAATTCTCAGACACATCTGAGATTCAAGTTTAATGTAAAGCAAAAGTCTGAACTTTGATCCATGCTCCTGGTAAGGCATCTAAGCTTCAACTACTTAAGAGGTCAAGTTAGGTTTAGTTTTGAGGACAATCTTCTTTCTCATTCTCTTCCAAAATTGAGCGCAATTTCGAAGTCCCACAACAAGTAACGAACTCGCTCGGGTAGATAAAAATTCAAAATGTCATTCGAGAAAGCTGTGGTCCGAAAAGTAATTCCACTTTTCTTGTGGTTTTCTATTCGGTTTACCAAACCGATTTTGGATGGTTCCATGTGGCTAATATTCAGCAGAGTAATAATCACTGCCCTAAACTTGCGATGTTGTAAAAAAACAATCTCCTAAACCTACTAAACCTACGTAACCTAAGAAATGTTATAATAATGAAAAGGCGAGAATATTGAACTTTTAAACGGCATCATCAGACTTAGTTTTGATGAAAAGCAACGCTTACTCTTGTAAAGCAAAGTAAAGAGATCCACTAAAAAATTTGAAATCACTTCTGAAAGACTTTGGCAAGACAATGAAAAGCTAAAAGGAAAAGAATCAAAGTTTTTTTGTTTTTTTGTTTTTTTTTTTTTTTTTATATTAATCGGCACAACACTGCTGGTAATAGCGGCTTGTATGCGACATTGAATGGATATGACAATCTATAGACAACAACACCGGCAATACCGACAGTTTAAGCGGCAACAACAGGCAACGCAAGCAACACAAGTAGCAAGAGAGTAAGCAGTATTGGTAAGCCAATCGAAAAAGAAGAAAAAAAACAAAAAAAGAAGGGCAAAAAGCAAAAAAAAAAAAACCCAGAAGGAAACAAGACAGCAAGCAACGTATAAAATTTACACAATGATGATAATAATGATGATTTAAAGTACGAGAAAAACCAAAACTCCACCAACTGCAAAAGGAGAAGAACAGAAGACCAACAACAATAAAAGAGAAAAAAAACAAAAAAAAAAAAAAAAAAAAAAAAAGAAACAGCAACAACAATAACAACAGCAACGGCATCAAAGGCTAAAAGCAAGGCCTAAAACGACAACAGCAGGAAACTGTTTTGTTGTTTCTCATGATTCTTGTTAAGTTTTTGTTTTGTTGGTAGTTTTTTTTTCTTTTTTCTTATTATTTTATTTATTTATTTTTTTTTTAAATTTTATTTTTACTTCTTCGTCTTCTTCGTTTTCAATTTGACCAGAAAACGTGTTCAAGTGGTCAACAGGTACGATAGTCTCAGTTTACATTGGGATGCCGTGGGATAGTGTCGAATTGGTTGTTTCATTATACATAGTATGACTGTCATATGGTGTGACCAGACGACAAACAGACACAATGCTGTTATTGTCTGCTGCTAGCTATATTATTATTATTGTTGTTGTTGTTGTTGTTGTATTTGTCGCCTACTTTATATATATGTGTTGAAATTAACACATTTTGTTTTTTTTTTTTTATACAAACACACACACATACATATGTATATATATATATATATATATATATATATATATATTATTTTTATTGTTATTATTGTTATTTACTAACTGGTCTGGTAATCATCAGATGATATATGAGAACACAAGAACCTCAATAAAATAATAATAATAATGACTGTGTTGCAGACTTTACCTAAAGCTACTGTGTCGGTTTATAGGTAAACAGATGATTAGATGATGTACGAAACGACTATTTCTACTACTACTAGTACTAGTACTGCTGCTGCTGTTACTACTACTACTACTACTACTACTACTATTACTAATACTACTATGCATTGAATCAATTAACCATTCAAGCGATCAGTTTACCCACTTGCTTACACACCTAGACAAATAATTGCTAGACATTAAGTTCACTTCTTTACCGGCCGGTGAAACATGTATAAAAAGCAGTTACGGCGAACTTGATGTTGTTTTACTTAAACTGCAATCAACAATAATAACAACAACTGCAACAACAACGGCAACAAGTGTCGCAAATGCCACTAAAACCGTCAGCACGCAAACACCTTGTTTCCACCAAAAGAGGCAGACAATTTAAACCAACAGCAAAAACAATCATAACAATAACAACAATAACAACAACAACAACAACGTTTATGACAACAAAAGTCTCTCAAAGCGATACATACTTAAAGAAGAAAAACTGTTTTGCTGTCGCTGCTGCTGCTCTTGCTACTGCCGCTGTTTTTTATGCTGTCTGTTTAATGCTGTTGACCGGCATAGACTGTCGACACTTTGTCTCGTGTTTTTGACAAACCAGAGCCAGATTTATGGCTCCAAAGTAATAAGTAAGTAAGCAGTAAGCGGGTACGCGTTTCTCCCCGCGATTACCGCTTAATCGAAAATTTCTCGTTCTGTTTCGTTTATCTAAGGTTGCTAGGGTTGTGTGTGTTTCTCTTCACTTGAAAAAAAAAAAACAAAAAAACAAAAAGATCACAGTTTTTCTGTATGCATCTGTCTGTCTATATGTCCCTTTGCTTGGCTTGTTTTTTGATTCAGGGTTCAAGATCATTTGAATAATTTTAATTTTAAGAAAAGAACAGTTTTGCTTCTTCTTTATTTTTTTAATATTAAAAAAAAAAAAAAAATTATGCATCACTTCCACTTCTACTTATGACCACGCATCTCAAGGAAGAGAAAAAATCTTTTTTTTTTTGTTTTTCTTTTTATTATTGATCTCTTTAATTAAATTGGCGGCAATATAAGCAAGAAAAAAAAAAAAAAAAAAATGTTCCGATGCGTGTTTATTTTCCCATCATGATATGTAACGTATACAACTTTTTAACACTTTCAACGATTTGTTTTCTCATTAATAACCGTTTGGCACTTGACTTGGCCGACGAGAACCGCTGCTGCTTATAAAACATGCGAAATGCAAAACGGCGAACAACAGCTTGATTAAGTTTTTATTACCCAATTAACAGCAACAACTGAATCCGTATCAATAACGCACCACCACAAACATATATATATATATATATATACACCAGCAAATATACGAAATAACAAACTGGCTGATTGTCTGACTGTCGACCGACGGATCAAACGACAAAACACACGACAACGGATCTTATTTGTTTGTTTCTTAAGCTTAAGACTATAGTAGTCGGCCAAATAAATAACAAAAAAACACAACAACTTATTCAATTCGAAGTTTACTACAAATTTCGAAAAAAAAAACAAAAAAACAAAAAAACAATTTTTTTTTTTAAATTTAAAATAAATAACGAAAAGAAATTTTTGCTTTTCGCAAAAAAAATTCAAGAAACTCGTAAACGACGCGCCCGCTTAAACATTCATTTAAATTTATAAATTATAAAAAAAAAAAAAAAACTTCTCTTGAAGAAATTAACAATATGAACGAACGGTTGAAATCAAATCTGATATATATATAAAAAATAGACATATTTATTTTCTTTTCTCGAGTGGCTTTTTAAAATTGCTGAGAACAAAATTCATTTTCTCAGAGCACGAAATTCTTTCCTCGATACTCATCGAGTGGCTTTTTTCAATGAACTGAATTAAATGTATGAAAATTGTGTATGTTCGTGCGTGTGTGTGTATGTGTGGCAATATGAGACTGCAGCAATAGCTTGACTTGGCAATAGCCAGTAACGGAACAGAGAAGGAAAAAAGTTTTGTTTTCTCTGAGAGGAAGATTTCTTTGATTACACCATAATCATGTCTTGTCTGCTCTGAGAGAGGATATTGCTTCGTTTACATTATACCGAGCTCGTGTTTGAATACACATCATACCAATGTCTTTTTGTTATTGCAAAGTTTTGTTTGCTTTGAAATTTAACTAAACTAAAGACTAAAGTAAAGTTGATTCCGATCTCATACCGGGTATCATCGTAAAGATTTGATATGTGTAGAGAAAAAATTTCCGATATATGAGTTAAGTATAAGTTGCTCTATACATGCATACATATGCATGTACATCTGTGTATATTCACATATCGCATATCAGATAACATAGCAGTGAAAGTTTCACTGTTTGGATTGGTTGTATGAAAACAGAGAGAATGAACGATCATTTTCTGTTAAAATGGCCATGTTCTATTAATAGATTTGCCATTTTCTGTTAAAGCGCTCATTTTCATTCAAACAGTCGAAATGTTATAAAAAAACCTTGAAAACAATCTTTTAAAGCAAGGCAAAGGAGTAAACAAAAATAAAAAGAAAAAAAATGTGAAGAATTAAAAATCCACTGTCAAGTAAATTTCTTGTTATTGCCGACAAGTTTAAAGGAAACAACTAAGACAGTTAAATACGGCAGCGATCATATCAGGGATCATCTCGCATACGCACCGCCATGTTTTTTGCACTCTATTCCGCGAGTTCGTTTATTTGATACCCACATCGCTGCTATTATTAAGACAAAAATTAATCGCGGCATTCTATCAAATTCACTTTAGAATTAAACCATTTTCAGGCAGATAATAGATCTTCACTTGAGTAGTGTACAAAAAAGTTTTAAAGATTTTAACTTTTTGTTCGCCTTATGATAAATAAAAGTGAAAAAATTTAAATTTAATTACTTGTAACTTTGCGTGAACACGGCCGATTGGTTGCATTTTTCGACCTAGATAGTAAAGTGTCTTGCAAACCAAATCTGGAAAGTTTCAGCCTTATAACTTTATTGATTTCCGAATAGCGAGCAAAAATCGAAAAATTTTTATTAAAAAAAAAAACGGACTCTCGTTCAGTTTATGTTCCACTGCGCGCTTCGGCTCTGGCCAATTTTCCCCATTCTCAATATCTGCCTGCGTGCAAAAACTCCCCATGTTTTTATCGAGTTCGAAGTCAATATCTTCGCTTTTGCGACCAAAGCCAACACCACTCAGACATACAGGGACACAAGGACAGACATGGCTTAATCGATTCAGAATTTCACGCTGATGAAAAATATATGTGGTTGATACGGTCTTTGAGGGCTCCTTCTAAAGTTATATACATAAAGAAAAAAAAAACAAAAAGAGTGTACTTCTATCCTTCAGGGGCGAGTATAAAAATAGAGCATAGGGAGCATTATTATTATTACTATCAGATTATATCAAATTTGATGCTCTTGCCATTATATGATAAATTGGAAGGTTTTTAAAGGAAATATACCTTTGGTTCGGAAATTTCGATTCGTGAAAATTAATTTCGAAAATAATTGAGGTGATGGGTGTGACATATAATTTTGGGAAGTATGTGATTTTGTGATAATTTATATATCATAGGTTAGTTTGTCTGAGATAGGTCAAACCACTGTCGCCAGCAATGACACCAGCATATGCGCTCTGTGATAAATGTAAGCCAAGTCTTCGATTTCATCTCCCATCACCGAAGGATGATGGCTATGTTCACTTTGCCAAAACGTTTGCAACACCCAGAAGGAAGCTTCACAGACATTGCAAAGTATTCTTGATCAAGATCAAATTCTGAATCGATTTAGGCATGTCCATCCGTCCGAATGTGTAAGGCGTATTGTAGACGTTCTCCTCGACACAAAAATGAACCTATCAACAGATTTGACAGAAGAAAGTTAAGCTGTTGTTATGGATACGCCTACATAGACAGAAGATAAATCTAAAAAAATTGTGACGTAGATGCTATAGGCGATGATGTAGTACCTGTAAGGGAAAAATTCACCAGGCTTACCCAATGTTATAGTTTATCGAAATTTAGTTTCATTTTAAAACCTTTATAACGTGTATAAGTTGGCTTCAAAAAATACTTGGCCAGTTTTATATCCGAGTTTAATTTTTTTTGGCCTACAAAAAAGATCCTACGTATTTTTTTATTGCAAATATGAATTTTGCTAACAAGAAGTAAGGACGTGTGTATTTGTTTGTTTTTAAAAATACTCAATAAAAAGATAAGAAAAAAGTGCCATCTATACGATGGTAGTTTGCTTTTGCTGACAGCGAGGACAGTGATGCTCGGCGGTTAACAGCGCCCTCACTCTATAATCGCCTGAGGTGTGAGGATTATTTTTTATTAAGTCAGGAATGTTTGTAATAACGAACATTAAGATTTACAAAGTTTTTGAATCTAAAGATTTAAACTGATTCAAAGAACGTCTGCTTTCCTAACTTGGAGCAGTGTGAATCCGCTGGAGTATTGTTTGCTATACAAAGACTTTGCTTTCTCGAAAGTGTGGTGATAAGTAATTTCGAAAAGCGATGATAGCAATTCTAAAGAGAAGGATTCCAAGTTTGGGTTTGCAGTGTTAAAGGAGGCCAAGGCGAATGAGAAAAAGTACACAAATTTATCCCCAGGTATTCATGCATATAGAAAACTACAACTAATTGTAGTTGTTCCCCTATTTGGCATATGATAAATTACAAATAAATTATGTTAATTAAACTATAGATTAATACAAATATAATAAATATATAGAGGAGTAGTTTAATTACTTCTACTAATGTACATATATAAAACTTTTTATAAATGCATTTTTTAAAAGTTTATTTATCCTATGTTTAATTATATATATATATATATATATATATATATATATATATATATATGCTGTAATCTCTTCAACTTTCGAATTAGGTGCAAACGAATTATTGATGGCTTAACAATAACAACAACAAGTCTTACCTCTTGGTAGGTAACATTTTTATTTTAAAAACATTTTACGATATTTTTACATTTAAACATAAAAAGTTGTTTAATATAAAATATGGTATAAATTTTAAAATCTATTCAAAAATATCATTTTGTGAATAGATCACAATAGCATCGCTGTTCTATTATGTGCTAAAAATATTGACTCTCGCACGCCGCATCAGCTATTGCATAATTATGATATGTGATAGTTTGAACTAAAAATTTAACATGACTTTTACTCATCAATTTAATTTACATTATAATAACATTCTTGGGATTTACTTTCACAATTGTCGTAAGGTTTTATTACCACTTCTTTGGTGTCTAGATTTTCTTTTTTAACGCAAGCACACCTAAAATTTTCATTATCGAGTTCATATAGTTTGCGTGGATAACCAATCCAGTTGCGCTGTTTACCGCCACTCGATCCAGAACACCAGACATGAGATCCTTTCTCCATTGACCATTTAATATTACAATCTGGATATTTATCTCTTAGTTTTTGTTTATTATATTTATCGAATTCGGCTTCCTCTGCCATTGCTCTAAATTTCTTTTCATATTTTGTGGGATGACCAGATTCATCGTAAAATCTGCCAATTAGTTTACCTTTGTAGATGTAATCGCTTTTATAATGTTTTTCCCAATTAATTAGGCTCAAAATTGCCGGAGATTTTAATGCTAGAACATTATCCGCTTCATCTTCTACATAATTTTTAAAGTCTGCTGTTATGAACGCAACGGATGCATCTCGTCCAGCAAGAAAATGATAATTGCATCCTGGTCCATAATATTTTTCATCCCGAGTTACATCGTACACTCGTCCTAAGAGACCTAAATATATGGGCTGTCCACCTACACCATTAAACTCATTTAACTGCTCCTTAGTAAGGAGTAAGTCACTATTATTTCCAGCTGACAAATTCCCATTGTCTGTGTTTTTCTTTCCCAAATTAATCGAACGTATTTGCTCGCATATTTTTGGATAATAAATTCCCAGAATGACCGCCATAACGACTAAACAAAATTGTAATTTGAGAAAATGCCTTCGAATTATTGTCATTTTTACAATTTTTATTTTAAGGCACTATTTATCTAAAATTTTCTCCTTTTTTTTTTTTCTTTAATTATATTATAAAATTCGACAAAAAATGCATCGGTAAAAATCTAATTTCATATAAACAAATATCAGATGATAATTATTCGATAACATTATATCGATAAAAAACAAAATAAAATATACTGCTATCGAGAAAAGACATTTGAATAGCAGACGTTTAACAGAATTCAGAAGTATTTAGCTGCACGATGTGCAAATGTGTAATTAAGTTAATACAATAAATGGAAATTAATGCAAACCATTTTTCAGGACATATCTATCTTATCTATGCAACATTGTAGAATTTCGTATAATTCTGTTGCAGATTTATTTTTAATATCACTATATCGAAAACTCCGTTTATAATAATGCCCTCTAAGTTTTCTATGCAATGTTGGAAAATTACGTATTCTCTTTGCACGTACTCAAAAAGGATCAGATCACCAAAACCGGTGGCGCTTTGATTTGAAGAATTCTTCTCCCGAAATCTTCAACGGAATATTAACTTTTTAAGAGAATATTAACTTTAACCCCATCTACATCCGAAAAGCCGAATACCTTTTATTTTCAAATGTATGGTAGTATCGGTTCGTGATTTTGTGCTTATCTTAGCTTTATGAAAAAAACAATTAATTATTTTCTGCACTTTCCAATGGCATTGCCAACTTTTGAAAACTCATATGTTAATCTTTCTCAGTCATTGACCTGAATTGCTTTGTTATTGTTTCGTTTATTGTGTTTCGTTGCTTTGTCTTTCAGTAGAATGTTACGAAAAATGTATGAATTGCGAATAGATTGAGAATCTTCGTTAACTCAATTCGTTGGAGTATGAAAAAATTTATTCATTTATCAAGTCTTCTGCAAGAATTAATTTTGGATCAGTGGCTTAAAAGTGCAATATCTGGCGATGCTGCTGCTTTTAAATCTGACGGAAATACTTTTATTGTATAAACTAGGCACCTTACAAGGGCAGAGAGAGAAAGAGAGAGAGAGAGAGAGAGAGAGAGAGAGAGAAAGAAAATCGACCTGAGGTACTCTATAAATGCCCGGAATATACAAGGAGCGGCGTTCATGGAAACGCAAATTTTGCTTTCTCTACCGAAACTTTACCGTACGTGTACGGCGAACAAGCCTTTTTACTCCTCGAATTACGTTACTTGCAGTAAAAAACTATATCTTACTTATAAAGACTTCACAGCCAAAGAGAAAGAAAGAGAGAGAGAGATAAAGAAATTAATCGATCACCTTTTGCTAAATGGAGAGAAAGGCCCAGAAAGATATTTAGGGAACATTTTTGTCTTCAAGCTCTTCTCACGACATGTGATAATTACGCACTGTAAAAACACATTGGAAAGCACTGTGCTATGAATACAATACTTGTGTGTGTGTGTGTGTGTGCAACATTACCTTTTATTACTTAGCATACATTCAGTATTTCCGATGAACTCAGCCAAATTCTAATAGACGTAGCTTTTCCGCTTAGCTCTAATTGAGTTAAATGTTTTTATATACAAAAATTTGCCTTTTTTTCTTCATCTTCACTGAAATCTCACCAATCCCATAAAAAAAAAAAACATTCACTTGTATTTCCATAGCTATAGGCAGGTTATAGTTTTTTTTTTTTTCTTAGGTAAAAATTTACACCGAAAAGCTCAAAAGTTAGTGGCAGTAATAGCCATAACAGTCGCAAGAGAATATTTCGCAAAGCTTCCGATAGTCTTTGAAGTATGAGACCTTTTTTGATAGCATAACACAAATGCAAGAGAAAAGATTTTTGTTCATTTTTTTATATTTTTCTTTATTTATTTATTTATTTTTTTTTTCTGTTATTATTAATAATTAGTGTAATGTATTTTTTTTGTTTTTTTTTTTTTTGTTTGTTTCTTTTATTTATTTTTACATTTATTTCTTTTTTGCTGATTACATGATTTTCGGTTTTGTTTTCATTTTTTCTATTTCTCTTTCTTCTTTTCAAACATTTTCCAAAAAACTGTTGAACTTATAAGAGATACAGGCTCATATATTGTCATATTCGAATACATACATAAGTGTTTAAATAAACAATTTTTTTCCCCTTTTTTTCATTTTTATTTTTAATATGTATTTACCACGAAATCGTAAGCAATATTTTTTTTCTGTTAAATAAAATTTACACTCATTTGCGGTTAAAATTAACAACTTGTTGTTTTTTTTTTTTTGTTTTTTTTTTTTCTTTTTTTGTAGTAATGAAATAAGGAATTATTGCTGCAGATGTGGTTTTAGTTGTTCTTGTTATTATTGTTATTGTTGTTTTTAAAAATATTTTGCTAAAATTGAAAAATTTTTTTTAACTTTATTATAATAAAACAATTTCTTAAAGAAATTAAATGAATTTTTTTCTTTGTCTTCAGGGTTCAAATTTAGTTTTTTTTTTGCTTTCTTTTTTATTAAGGTATATATATTTTTTTTTAGTTATATCATTTTTTTTTTTATTTTTATTAATAATATTGCATTTTATTCTTGCCTTTAATAATCGTAATAATAATAATAATAATAATAATAATAATAAAATGTAATTCTATATTAACTGTTTGTTATTTTAAGTCACTTTAAGCTGAATATGCTTTAAATGTTATCTGTTATGTTATGTTCAGTTATGTTCAGTTTACTATATAGGATGAGTAGTATTTTAAATATGTAAAATATAGTTGTTGTTGTTGCTTTTGTTGCTGTTGTTGTTTTTTTCATTTATTTATTTATTTATTTATTTTTTTTTATTAAATATTATTTTTATAAATTTTGATTTTGGTTTTCTTCTCTTAAATAAGCTCATATATAAATATATAATAATCTTTTTTCTTTCCTTTTGTTATTTTCTCTTTTTCGGTTAAATGATTTCCCTTCAATTAGCATTGTTTTTCTTTTTTTATTTTTTTTTTTTTGACAGATTTTCATTTTCATTCTTTCTCCTCATACGTATTTATAAATTAATAATAAGTCTTATAAGATTTTTTTTTTTATTAAAATTTGTATAAATATTTGTTTTATTGATTTTTTTGTTTTTTTTTTTTTTGACTAAAATTTTTCTGCTTTTTAATATATACTTGTTTGTCTTAAAGTTTAAAAATGTTTATTTATTTCTCTTGTTTGCATTTACTGTTGCACCCATTACCTTTTCAAAAAATGTTTTTCAAGGACAACGTAATTAAAATTGAGAAACAAAGCTTAATATGACACTTTTTCCTTTTTACATTCAACACTCTGCTCATATAATCTTCTTCTTCTTCTTCTTCTCTGCGCAGGAGAACCCAAAGCGAATTGGATTTAGATTGGAAATTCTACTGGATACTGGATACGGCGTTCACTCCAAATCTTATCTGGTATATCTTGTCCACTAAGTGTAGGACGAAACTAATCAGACTATTTTCCATATCAAGCAAAGATCTTTTTCTTTCCTTTTTTTGTTCCTGGAGAAAGTTCAGTAACTTTCAAAGTCGAACTCATTTTCGATAAAAGTTCAGTTAATTAATTAAAAAATTTAATTTAAACTCAAGCCTACGTCCCTTCACCGAATACATTTCGTTCATTTATTTTCGTGTTAATATCCCTTTTCATGCAAAAGTGAAGTATTCACGACAGTCCTTGTATTTATTGGAGTAAACTGGCATAGTTCAAATTATGAAAGTTTAAATTTCTTTTTAAGAACTTTGTTATGCTTCGCTTAAATTAAAATTTGCTGTCGCATAAAAGCTTGCCTTCAATGAAAACTTTGCACGTAGTCGGATTTAAAGCATAGACTTATGCGATTCACATTTCCTACGGTTAATTTTTATACCAAGTTGCTCTTATGAATCGATTTTCATGAAATATTTAACATTTTTCTATGTACAGATGTTTTTTTCGTGAGGGCCCATACATGGACTGGTCTCTAAGAAATAGTTCCACTTAGTCCAAGTTTAATATTAATAAGTTTTATGATAGGCTACTAATATAAACCTACTTTTCATCATGATATAGAAAAACATGAGACGTTTTTGCACAACTTTTTCAAAATAAAGTGTTATACAGGAAGTGGCCATGATCCGGTGAATTTCTCAAAAAATGCGATCTGTATGTTAAGCCTATGCTAAAACATTAGGCGGACAGACGGACGGAAATATTAAATCGATTCAGAAAATGATTTTAAATTTAATGATCAATCGCTATAATCAAAAGCGTATCTTATCTTGACGTATCTATCCTTAGACGGTACGTACATCCCAACAAACTTAACATACCCTGTGTCATAGTAGGGCAAATATATCAAAATTTTTTTTTGAATATCATGTGAAAAATTTCGAATTCCATATAATAATCTCCTAGCAACAAAAGTCAAAGGTACATTAAGTCAAGTGAATAAGTAGATCTTGCGGGTATACGTGAGTTTATCTGTAAGGACTTAATTTGTAGAACAAAGCAAACAGTTTAAATCTTTATGCCTAAGAATTTGAAGGCGGGTATAGATAAGAGTATGTTCTAGAGCGACTGGTGGTCATTGTGGGTATGCGTGAGATTGCCTGCAATGATTTAGATCCATGTTTAGCTCTCCCTTTAAGAACATAAGATCGTCTGGGCATAAGAGTAAGTTGGAACTGAAGAGATATGTAGAAGTATGTAGAAGTATATGTTTCTCCACATTACCCCACTTTCAAGTCGAACACACCACTCTCTCTCTCTCTCTCTCTCTCTCTCTCCATCCCTCCCTCCCTCCCTCTTGCTCTTCTCGTCTGTCTATCTATGCAGGGGATAAGGGAGGCATTCCTCGAGTGGCTGATCTAATACAGAAATCAACAAATAAAATAAAAATAAAAAGCAAAAATGTAAAGTTATTCCAATAAATGACATTGAAGCAAGGTAATGGGTGGATTTTCAAATTAGATTCAGCTATAAAGTGAAAATGAATTTCTTACTATTTTTTTTTTTTTTTTTTTTGTTTTTTATTTTTA